AGAGACAGAATGTGTACGGTACCTTGTGTAAGAATCGCAGACAGCGTGGAAACTGTAGATAAAACACAATCATATTTTGCCTGCATTGCCGTGGTGTATCTAGAAGTCTTGAAATGGGGGTGCTGATGAGGGGGGGGTTGTGGAGGGGGCGCGAAGGTGAAGTGGGAGAGCTCCATGATCACTTGAGGGGCGCTAACTCGCAAAATAAGGTGATTTTAGATGATTTCTAACTAATGTACTTGGAAGTGATTTTTTGGTTTATGCATAAGAACGTATTTTTTGGAAATCCAAGGAATGTAATTTCTGCGAATGTTAAATGACAATGTTCAAAATAATACGATGTTAAATGACTTGTGAAATATAATAGCCAGAAAATATATATAGATAAATTAAACCTTTAGTAATACGTTGAATCTGTTTACTTTAATAAAAATAACACTTTTCGTGATATTTTACATCAGTTGGCTCAGATATTCATAGTAAACAATATGCTAATGAGGTGATGACCACGCTTGGGGAGAGGCAAGGAATGTAATTTCTGCGAATTCATATTTTAGGACAATTAAAAGGTATAGGATCTGTGTTAATAAGAATTATACTCTATGCTAATGAGGTGATAACATCACGCTTGGGGAAAAGCGAGGGTATATTATTTTATTAATTACACATAGTCCTTGTGGAATTTCGACTTTCATTATTGTGGGAAACACTCTGATTATAGATGGTATCATTGCCTGTGTAAGTATGCTGGCAAAAAGGTAAACTGTTATTCTAACTATTCCTGTGTTGCTGCATTTCAAAGAGAACTATTTGTATCAGGCGATGTCCGTGAAAATCCAGGCCCAAACCCTAATTCTTCGAATGACTCTGCTTCGATGAATAGGCCTAGTTCAACTTCCACTAATTTGAATGTGTTACATCTAAATGCCAGTAATCTGGCAAATAAAATTGACGGGCTTCGAACATTTTAGCAAATAGTGCTGATATCATTGCTATGATAACGGAAGCGTGGTTAACAGACCATCACCATGATGAAAGAATTCTGTACTCCAGGGTAAAAATGGCCCCGGTAAATGTACTCCAGGGTAAAAATGGTCCCGGTAAAAATGGCCGTGGTAAAAACGGCCCTGGTAAAAATGGCCCCAAATGACAGGTAGGTAAAAATGGCACCCAATAATAAAATTCTGATATTAGAACTGATTTAAAAAAAAAAATTTGCATTTTTTAAAACTAAAAAATTCAGTTTTTAAAAAAAATTTAACATCAAATAAATTGCCATTTATATTTTACTTTTTGCAGGAATTACATATTCAAAGATAAAAAAAAAAAGCCATGAATAACACTTTTTATTTTTTCCATTTAAATGTTAAAAACACAACATTTAATCAATAAATCAAAATCATGCATTTAAAATAATTTTTGTTATGGCCAATTTTACGGAAGCAGAATCACAATCAGAAAATGAAACTTGGTATTGCTAAACCCCGCAAAAATGGGTTCATATGAACATCAAACTATTATTTTTTTGGAAAAAAAAATTATAGCCACTAGTTTCTGAGCCAGTAGAGGCATTTGGATTTAGATGGCAGGGAGTAATAACCAAGTATGCAAATTAATTAAGTTGCTTAAATAAATGTATTCCTAATTCAGTTTACTAAAAACAATATTTGAATAAAAAAAACTCTAAGCAGAACATTTACATGTATTGCTAAGTTTGTGAGAAAGTAAGCCTCTCCCTTTTCCCATACATAAACCTGTGATTCAAACACACAATTGATCCACATGCTTTAACTACTGTTTATTTGCATTATTTATAATATGTAAAGTTATTTCATTTGATATTACTATTACTGAATGTTTTCATTGGGGCCATTTTTACTGGGGCCATTTTTACCGGGGCCATTATTACCGGGGCCATTTTTACCTTCTTTCTTTCTTTTTTCCAAACTCACATATTCCTATGCTTTAAAATATTATATAGGCCTATGGCTTATGACTATTACTATTGTTTTCAAAACCTGTTCAGAATTAG